CGGCTGTTTTGGGTCTTCGTTTCTGTGCGAGGGCTTTCTCTAGTTGCAGCAAGTGGGGGCCACTCTTCATTGCAGTGTGCGGGCCTCTCACTATTGCGGCCTCTCTTGTTGCAGAGCACAGGCTCCAGACGCGTAGGCTCAGTAATTGTGGCTCACAGGCCTAGTTGCTCCACGGCATGGGGGATCTTCCCAGACCAGGGCTCGAACCCGTGTCCCCTGAATTGGCAGGCAGATTCTCAACCACTGCGCCACCAGGGAAGACCAATTCATGCATTCTTGGAAACTGGTTCTTGGGGGTAAAGAAACCAAAAATCTTGTTATGTAAAAAGCACAGATAAATATAAAGTATATCTGTGAGTATTAAAATTTCATGGGTGGCAGGAGTGAATAGGAAACAAAATGTCTGAAGAGGCTTCTGGGGTTGAGGAAGCAAAAATGAAAAAACAGTTAAAAAATACTTCATTGCTCCAGAATGGCATAAAGAGCACTTCTCTGGTTGGGGCCAGATCACAAGCAGTAGCAGTTTATCCCATAGAACGAATGGTTTTGCAGATCTCATTTAATTGAGCTTTCAGCACAGGGTGAGGATGAAGATTGAATGGCTTCCTTCTTATTTGTTCCTCATGAATTTGAATAATAACATCACAAGAGACTAAATCAGTATTATGCTGTGGAAATGGAGAGAAAAGAAACCAGTTAGAAGTGATAGCACTGGGTGAGGAAACAGCCTGTGAACATAGGTTCCAGATGTTAACAGCAAAACAAATTATAATAATCATGAATGTACTGGCATCCCTGTGTTGTGTCACTGTTTAAGGTACCTAGATTTTCATTCAGTTGAGCATGAAGTTACAGATTATATCAATATGTTACTTTAAAAAAAATTTTTTTTTTAAATTTCTTGCTGTGCCACACAGCTTGTGGAATACTAGTTCGCCACCCAGGGATCAAATCCAGGCCCCCTGCAGTGAAACCACCAAGTCCTAACCACTGGACTGCCAGGGAATTCCCTATATCAAAATTTTAATAGTAGTAGTAATAATACAGTAGTAATAAAACCAGTGAGCTAATGGAAATCTATTGAATGTTGGGAAGATGCAAGTCCAAATTCACTTTCTTTTGGTGCATGCATTCTTTCCTTGTACAGTTCTGTATTGCTGTGTGCCAGGCACTGTTCTAGACACAGGAAGCTTATGTTGTAGTAGGGGGTGGGAGGGAAACAGTCTGTAAAGAATAAATGTAGTATCTTCAAGTATGCCAAGAAGTGATACGTGCCGTGGGAAAAGAAATAGAGCAAATGGAAGTCTGGAGAGGAGAGAAGGACACTGCAGTTAAACTGGAGTGGTACTGTAGACCTTAATATCTCCTTAGGAATGTCTCTGAAAGTTGCTTTGACCATTCACTGGAAGAGTCTTCACAGGATAATTTTTCTGTTCCTTTTTGTAGAATGGTAGTCGAAGAAGAACACCAGGTGGCGTTTTCCTGAATCTCCTGAAGAACACTCCTAGTATCAGTGAGGAGCAGATTAAGGTAGAAACAATAATGTCCTTGACTTTTAAGATCCATCATAATTTAACTCCCACTCAGCCTCTAGCTTCATTTTTTCCTGATCTCTGTTACCTGCTCTGCCTTGTACTGACCAATTTTTCATTGTCTCTTTTCAAGTAAACCTTATGCCTTTGGTAAAGCTCTGCCTCCTCATTTTCTTCCCTTTCAGAGCCAAGGTCAAGATTTCTTTTATGGCAATTTTTCCTGGTCCCTTAGCATGTAATTTTTTTTTCTACTCCTACAACTTTTTATTAAGGAAAAATTTCAAACGTGGAATAGATGAAAAAACAACAGGATGAATACCCATATATCCTTCACCTAGGTTCAGGGGTGGTTAACATTTTGACATTTACCTATACAATTTTTTTTCTGTACCATTGGGAAATAAGGAGCAAACATCATGACATTCAGCCCTAATTACTTCAACAAGCATCTCCCAATAATGACAATATCCTACACAGCCACACCTAAGAAAAATAAGAACAGTTTCATAGCATCATCCCAGTATCTATCTAGCCCTTATTCCAATTTCCTGAATTGTCCCAAGAATGTATTTTCTAGCTTTTTTCCTCCCCAAATCAGGATCCTATCTAGATTTCCACATCCCATTTGTTATATCTCTTTTGATCTGTTTAATCCTACATTTTTCTCCATGATTTAGACCTTTTGATGAGTCCAATATGGCTGTCTTATAGAATATACCACATTCTGTTGTCTGCTCACACATTTGTTTTGTTTATTCCTCTATCTCCTATATTTCTTACAAACTGGAAGCCAGGCATTTTAGTATCATTTTTGTATTACCAGAATGTCATATGGGAAATCTTATACACTGTGGGTTTTTCACAGCTCAGAATTCAGTTACCTTTTAATTTATTAATTAAGGAACATGACTCGCACTTAGCACATGTGATCAAAATTGAGAACTGTCTTCTTGCATAGGAAGGAGATGGTACACATGCAACACAGCTACAGTATTTGAGAAATTTTGTATTCTCTTTTTTATAACAGTGGGTGATAAAGGTCATAGGAATGTGCTTTAGCTGTACTAATGTAATGATGATGACAGAAAAATAAAAACCTTTTCTCTTGAGCTGATGCTACATGTGAGCATATTTTACATCTGCTCAATGTTCTTTTTCTTTTTTCTGGCTATGCACTTTTAGTCATTTTTTTAAAAATCTGTTACTGAAATTCCTACAGGATATGTTGTTGCACATTTGAAATCTCTACTCTGTAACTACTTTTTTTCCTCATTGGAACAATTATTTTGATAATAAATTTATAACAATGTGAATTTCCTTGGGAACACAACTTTTGAGTGGTAGAACAGAGCTTATACCTTAGTGATGTTCTCCCTCCTCCCCCAATATAACCCCTGATCAGAGTGTGTACTTAGAAGGAACATTCTTCTTGGGTCTTTGTTTGATAGCAAAATGTGACTCTTTTCAAAGATATAGCATGATGTGATGAATTCTCTAAGATTCAAAATCTAGGTTTTAATCTTAATTTTGCCATATAGTGATTATATGACTATGAGCAGATTGCTTACTCTCCCTCAGCCTTGATTTTCTCATCTATAAAGTGAGGACTTTAATATGTGCCCTGCCTATTTAATATTGCTATAAAGGAGTTAAATAAAATGATGTCTAGAAAAGCTGTTTGTTTCTTGAGAAGAAAATAACATTTATTCACCGTCAGCCTGGCACTGTCTATCATTGGGTATTACCCTGATAGGCAAATGCAGAGCAATAGAAAGAATAGGTCTGAGATCACACAGGAAGGACTCTGACTTCAAACCCATGCTGTTTTCACTGAATCACCTATCTTTGAAATTCATTTCTTCTAACTCATTGTGGAGAAGGAGATTTAATGTTAGTAGATTTTTATCTTAAAACAACCAGAAACATTGCATTATAATAAACAGAAACATTTGTAGTATCTAATAATAGGGGAATGTTGACTAATAGGGACATTCTTAAAGCAGCTATCCTGTAGCCTCTATTTTTGTGAAGCAATTTTAAGAAAATTAGAAAATGCAATGCTAACTTTTTAAACTTTTTAAAACGACAAAGTACAAATTTATAGAGAAAAAGAGGCATGGGACAATAGACTGGCAGTTAAAACACCAAAATGTTACCAATGATTTGGTCTGTTGTGAGGGGTTATAAATGTTTTGTCTTTTAAGATTTTTCTGGGTTTTTTTTTGCCAAATTTTCTGTATGTGCGTGGTTTGACTATCATTACTAGAGGGAAAAGCCTAAGGCAGATATAATTTTATTATAGGTAATTTCATGTGCCATCCAAATAATGGTGTTATAATTATTCTTTTAGTCACTATATTGCTAACAGTCACAGTCTGTAGAACTTGGAAGCCAAAACTGAACTGAGTGGGCTTGTTTTCAACGTTTTCTCATTTGATTTTGTTTCGGTATATGGCCTTATAATTTGTTTTAGAGAATACAAAGTTTGTGAAGAAAGAAAAAATAAGAATAGTTAGAAGTTAATTTGCGAAGCGGGGACCCCTGGGGTGCCTGGCCAAGGCCCCCTCGCCCACGCCCACCCCATCACCGACCCCCTGGGAAGACCTTGGCCCCCAGACCAGCACCTCTCCAGGACGCTTGTCCCCAGATTTTGCTGAGGAGCTGAGGTCCTCAGAACCATCTCTGAGCCCCGGTCTTCTGGAGGAGGTTGGAGAGGTGGCCGTGGTGCTTCTGGGCAGGTCCTCTCCTGGCGCCGCGGACCCTGAGGAGGTGGTGCTGTGCAGCAGCAGCTGCTGCGCCATGCGGCTGCTGCGCCGGGGCCTGGCCCGGTGCCCTCCTAGAGGGTCGGGGTGCTTCCCCCGACTTGGTGTGGGGGCCCCGCCAGCTGGCTGTCTGCATTTTAAAGAGGTCCCCCCCTCAGGAGTTCTGGCTGCCAGCTAACTGCCCCTTCCCCAGCCGGGACCTCCTGGCAAGACTGTAGCTAGTGGTGATTTTACAACCAAAGACTCTATTTTGTGGTTTAAGGAGAATAAAATTGACTATGTTTAAAAGAAAAAAAAAAAGTTAATTAAGTCCACCTCTAACGTTCTCCCTCCGAAAATAGTATGCACTTCAGGTTCTTAACTTGCAGAGTTAATTATTCAAAGAGATGGATGGGAGAAAAAAAATTGCTCTCAGATGATCTGTTGTCTGCATTTGTTGTGACAACGTTAATAATATGCTACAAAGACATTTCTTTGGGTCATCCAGTTCTGTTTAAATTCGTAACCCATAAGAATGACATTCCTTTTTAATAAGGATTGCCATATTTGGAGGGAAAAGGGGAACTTCATAATTTTATTTAGTGTTGCCAAGCATTGTACTAGTTAGAATTGTTTTTATCAAGATGTTTGGATGTGCTTCCATATAAAATGAAAATACTTCTACTATTGTTCCACTTGAAGGTAAGTAGACTCTTGGAAAAATTGTGAATTATCACACTCTTGCGAAGGTTTAAGGTTTAAGAATATGGATTTGAAGAAATCATTTATGAGTTTAGACTTTATACCTTTACCTGTTGGCTCTAATCTTGAGCCTAACTTTTCCTCATCTGAAAACAAGTATAATCCCCACCTCATAAGGTTCTTGTGTGAATGAAAAGAGTTCACACCTGTGTAAAGTTCTCAACGTAATGCCTGGCACATAAAAGTGCTCATTCAGGAATTGGTAGCTGGCCTCATTTTCCTCTGAATTCACCCTTTTTGTCCTTCCTGCACTTTTTTCTCACATCTGTACCCTCCTTCTCCACCCCCATCCTCATTTCTTTAGCAAATACTTTCATTCCTTCTCTTCATCAAAGCTCTCATATTCTGAAGCTTTCCCTTACTGCATTCATTTTAGGGTTCCGTACTCCTTCCTCTGCTAATTCCGTGTGCTGCTTTTACTATTTAGCGAAGCAGAAGGCCCCCTTTATCTCACCATCCTCCGTATTGTTTTTTTATAAACAAGAAGGGATTTGCACTTTAAGAATGTAATAGGAACTGGCTTGGCTACAGCTTTTTTTTTTTTGCGGTACGCGGGCCTTTCACTGTTGTGGCCTCTTTTGTTGCGGAGCACAGGCTCTGGATGCGCAGGCTCCGGACGCACAGGCTCAGCGGCCATGGCTCACAGGCCTAGCCACTCTGCGGCATGTGGGATCTTCCCGGACCGGGGCACGAACCCGTGTCCCCTGCATCGGCAGGTGGACTCTAACCACTGTGCCACCAGGGAAGCCCTTGGCTACAGCTTTTAAGAGTCACTTGCTAGAATATAATAGGATGTCAAAAGTGTGTCCTGCCTGTACTAGCTTCTCTTTTAAATCTTTGAATCTTTTTTGTATTAGCATCATCATTTTTGCCTTCTCTTTAGATCCCTGACCTTTTTTTTTTGTACCCTCTAAAATTATATTTCTCTGTCTGTATCAAGGTTCCCAGAAGTTATTTTGTTTTTCCATGTAGTGTTTTAATGGAAATGTATTTTCTACTTGAACCATTCTCATTCACTGGCAGTTTTGCCTCTCAGAGGATATTTGGCAATGTCTAGAGGTATTTTTGGTTGTCACCGTTTGGCGGTGGGGTGGGTGTGCTAGTGGGTAGAGGCCAGGTAGGCTGCTGAACATCCTGCAATGCACACAGCAGACTGCTACACAAAGAATTCCTTGGCTTGCAGTTTTAGTAGTGCCATACTTAAAAAACTCTGTACTAGAAGATTCTCATATTCTCATGCTATAAAATCCTTTTTCTGGCACCCTGGAATCCAAGTGCTGACTATATCATTTTTATGCCTTGTGATAAAAGTTTTTGGCAGAGATTTACAGTCTCACATGTTAATTACAGCAGTGTTTAAGGGCTGGAATTTTTCTTGCATTGTGTAGGTTACGTGATCATACTTAGTCACACAGTTCGGGCCTGGCCAGTTTCTTAGCATATAACATGTGGTTATGATGACATTTCAGAGTTAGTAAATTATTATACCAAAGACTTCTGTTTTGTTGTGATAAATTATATTTTATTTAAATCCTAAACAATATGATTTTCCTACTGTATATTTCTATTTAGAAAACCTTTATAGATTGATGTATATGGTATAATAAGTATGGACCCTAGACCTAACACTAGGCTGAGTTTGAATCATAGCTTCATCCTCTCAACTTGCAATGAGGATTTATTAAATATCTTGGACTCTGTGTTCAATTATGAATCTAATATTTCTTTTGTGTGGAAAATGGAGATAATATAAAGAGTCTGCCTTATAACAGGTTTTCAATAAATGGTAGTTCTTGTTTACTAAAGTTGTTCCTTTATTGTAGGACATTTTCTACATTGAAAATCAAAAGGAATATGAAAATAAAAAAGCTGCTAGGAAGAGAAGAACACAAGTGTTGGGAAAAAAGATGAAACAAGCTATTAAAAGCCTAAATTTTCTAGAAGATGATGATACATCACGAGAGACTTTTGCAAGTGACACAAATGAGGCCCTGGCCTCTCTTGATGAATCACAGGAAGGACACGGAGAAACAAAGTTGGATGCAGAGGAAGCCATTGAGGTTGATCATTCTCATGATTTAGACATCTTTTAGGACATTTTGAGAAATAAGCCTTTCTAAGATAACATTGTAATAAACCATTTCTACTGAGATTGCTTTATTTTACTTTGCACTGATAAACCCAAAAATCTGGAGAGAACTGTTGTCTTGTTTTAAATAAAATTGAATATATGGGAGATGAATGCAATAAGAACATTTAAAACTTTCTCATGTCTGACAAAAGTATATAGCAGAGGATTTAATTTCTCAATCTATTGCATGTGCTAATCATTACTAGTTGATAATCAGTTTTGTCCAGGTCATCATAACATACCATTCAAAAGTTTGTTTTCTTTTTCTGATTTACCTTTGCAGTGAATTATGATTGATTTCAAACATTCCATTAAAAGATCCTAAGACATAAATTGTTAAGCTATTACAAATGCATTCAAATTTAGTTTTCCTGTGTTCTAAGAACTCTTAAGCAGTTTTAATAATAGAGACTAAAAATAGGTTTATACTAGTGGCTCTTCCCACTTAAGTTGTTTGTGCTGAAGTAAATAAACATCAGAAGCTTTTCAAAGAAGTATCTGTGCTTAACTGTAACTTTGTTTTTGACCTCTTATTAGTTACCTTGGTCATATATTAAATACTGAATGTGATCCATACCTGCATAATTACCATGACATTTAAAAAATTCCCAGTGACAGCCTGCCTAAGACTGTTTTACCTTATGTTATGGAAGTTAGGTATTAAAAATGTTTCATCTGCATGATGTTTAAAATTATTCATTTTTATTTAAGGAAATAAAGGTAGTTTACTTAAGATGTTCCAGGAGTTGACTACAGTTTACAAAATAGATTAAGCAAAAATATGTAGGGAGCAATTATTAGCTATTCTTTGCAGCAATGTACTTGAAGTCTTTCAGTAGTTTCTGAAATACATGATCATTGAAGTTGGAGCTAAGTAAGCAGGGAAAGAAAAGGAAATGGTAATTGGTTACATTTTTTTCATAAAGAATGCAAAAATAAAAGTGGAGTTCTGGCAGTCCTTAATGAGTTTCAAGTGATTTTATTTTTTAATCTCAAATGTTCTTTCATAAAATTGCTATAACCTAGGAAAGAAACATTTTAAGTAGGTAAGTATTTAAACATTATCCCTGAGATTTTTTAACCATTTATTTATTTATTTAAAGAATTTTTTTTAATTGAAGTATAATTGATTTATAATATTACATTAGTTTCAGGTATACAACATAGTGATTCAGCATTTTTCTGCCTTGTAAAATGATCACCACAGTCCCTGAGATTATTTTATGTAAGGTGATTTTACATATCACCTTCCCTGATGGTACAGTGGTTGGGAGTCCGCCTGCCGATGCACGGGACGTGGGTTCGTGCCCCGGTCCAGGAAGATCCCACATGCCGCGGAGCAGCTGGTCCCGTGAGCCGTGGCCGCTGAGCCTGCGCGTCCGGAGCCTGTGCTCCGCAGCGGGAGAGGCCACAACAGTGAGAGGCCCATGTACCGCCAAAAAAAAAAACAAAAGGTATAGTATATCAGGAAAGATAATCAACATTCAGAAATCTAAATGCCACTTACTCATGTAAATATTGCTAATTTTTCTAATGAAAGTTACAGTTTTTGAGGGACATTAATGCCTCAGGCTACTTCATCTTCAGTGGATCGCTCCTCCCTCATTCCCCGCTTCCCGGATTGTTTTCATCAATTGTTATTTCCTTAACATTTGCAAACCAGATTTCTGGATTGTAGTACATCCTAATGTTATATATAGAAACGAGTGCTTCAGTTTTTAAGGTTCTGTAAAGTTTTGTGTATTAACATTACTTTTCTCTAAAACTTTCTGACTATCCAGATCTAGGAAGTTCTCTCCAGACTGTTGCCGGATGTGTATTCAGTTAATACTCTCACCAAGGCAGTGTACATCAGTCATTCTTACCTGTTCAGCCTAACATTTTTCCTCCTGGCTAGGAGTATTAGCAGTAATAACCCTCCATGTCTCTGGCCTAGTAATTTAGGTGCTCGTCCTCACTCATAACCTTTCTTTATTAAAATGAGTTTTGTTACCTAAAATACTCTGAGATATAACTCAAATCTTAGGAGATAAAATGGGTTGGATTGGTTTGGGTTTAGGCAAGTTTGATTTACACCTTGAAGTGTGTGTAAGTAATGGTGAAACATAAATGGGACACATCAACCACGTGCAGTATGTAAAGAGGAAAATCAGCTAAGGGTAAATAGTGTTAATTTGAAGTGATTATTTGTGAATAATAATTCTTTAGTCCAATATATTTTCTAGTATCTGTCAAATTTGTAATATATCTGCAAGCATCCTTATTTTTTAAGTGTTCGTGACAAGAATGATGATGTACTCAAGGTGTATTAAAAACACCGAAAATAGCTCTAAGTGCCACACTCTTAATTAACTTCTAAAGTAACTGCTATGGGTTGCTATGAAATTAGCAAAACAGTGTTAGATCTGAGGCAGCAATGACATCATAATTAGACTAGTAGACTAGTGAAGTTCTAGATGAGAATTCCTGTCACTACTGGCAGTGATGGCTTCAGGCAAAGACACTTGTCCTATCTTACCTAAACTCACCAACAACTGTTCTGATGAGAATTCATATAAGCCTGCTATTAAGTGAGGACTTAAGGGTTCTGGGTTTTGGGGTGGTTTCTTTGTTTTTTGTTTCTTTGTCTTCAGTCTGGGAGCTACATAGATGAGGACGCTAATTCTGTGCTTCCCCTTGGCATCTTTATAGAAAGCTTTATGTTCCAGAACAAAACAATGTGTGTGCAGAGAAAGCAAGTCTGACCTGAGTGTAGGGCATGTACTAAATTCAGAAGCTAAATTAGTTAACTGGTTTTTGTGAGTGGCCAGTGATTCCTTTAAGTAATGAGTAGGCCTGAGGTAGATCATGGTGTGCTGTCTTCCCCCTTAAAGTCAGGCCAAAATGAACATCATGAGCAAATTGTAAAGGACAGCGTGCAGTTAGAGCTACAGATACCCAGCCCAGACTCTTGATCTTGGTGATACTCGGGGATTTAATGGGTTGGTTATCTACTAGGTGAGCCTCAAATAGTGACACAGCTCTGTGCTGCATCTGCTAGGGTCCAAACCTCACAGGCACAACTGCTTCCATTCCGTAAAATGAAGCTAAAATAATTGAATTTAGCTCACAATATATCCTTTCTTCTTGCTTTTTCCTAATCTTCAGGTGTGGTGAGATTCATTTGCCACGGTTTTCATTAAAGCAAGGGATGATCCCAAGACGTTATGTAATGCCTTGGAAACAGAACATGAAGTTCAGGAATGTGAATCTTAAGGTATTTTCCTACAGGTATTTATAATAAAAAACCTATATATCTGTGAATAGACATATATAACTCTACAAAAGCTGCTTTGAAATTTATTTTTCATTTTTTCAGCTTTATTGAGGAATAATAGACAAATATGATTGTGTACCTTTAAAGTATACAACGTGATGCTTTGATATACACTGTGGAGTGATTACCAAGATCAAGATAACACATTCATCACTTTACATTGTTGACTCTTTTTTTCCTTGCAGTGAGAATGCTTCAGATCTACTCTCAGCAGCTTTCAAGTGTATAATACCGTATTACTAACTGTAGTCACTGTGCTGAACATTAGACCCTTAGAACTTATTCTTCTTAAAACTGAAAATTTGTACCCTTTGTCCCATTTCTTCCTCCTTCCAGGCCCTGACAACCACCATTCTGTTCTGACAAAAACTATTTGATGCGCCTTCACGTAAACTTGCAAACAAAAGTTAAATAGCAGTATCTATTCAAATAACCCAATTACAAACTTAAAATAGGTAAACCAAAAGATTTCATAAATATGTGTCTACCTTTTTCTCTACATAATGGCAACTCACAGCTGTTAAGTTCATCAGAAGTAGGCGCCATTAACATTAAAGCTACAGTACAGAGCATGTATTTTTTTTTAATTGAAGTATAGTTGATTTACAATGTGTTAATTTCTGCTGTACAGCAAAGTGATTCAGTTATACATATATATATGTATATTTTATATTCTTTTCCATTGTGGTTTATCACAGGATATTGAATATAGTTCCCTGTGCTATACGGTAGGACCGTGTTTATCAATTCTATATATAATAGTTTGTTTCTGCTAATCCCAAACTCCCAGTCCAACTCTCCCCCATCCACCCTCCCCCTTGGCAACCACAAGTCTGTTCTTTACAGAGCGTGTATTTTTACAGTTGTACTGCACACTCAGGTTGAGAGCTATGGGAACAGTTTGGCTAGATTTACAGATAAGACTCCTTGCCCACTCAATGCTCTGATTCGGTAGTCAATAGTTTCAAAACATTTTCCAAATTCAGATTGATTGACCATTCACTTGTGAAAAGGTAAGTTGTTTCTTTAAAGGAGATTATAATATTTTGTAAGAATCAGACAATAAGAGGAGATTTCATGTTAGGATTCCTAGGAAGAAATGTGTTTATATAACTAATTTCCAAATTTCTAAAGGATAAGCAATTAATGTTGAGTAAGAATATACTTTGTGAAGACAGATATTATAAAATATGAATATTATATGATATACAAAATATAAAAATATGGCTCAAGTATTTTCTTATAAAATACATACAATGTAATAAATGAGGCTGCCATTTGCCTTGAGATGATTATTTTATATGTATTTTTATCTGATATTTTGAAAACAGATATGAAACTAAGGAAATCACGATTCAAATACCAGACTTAAACATCAAATTTGTGTGGTTATTAAGACTTTCTAATATCTTAATATTGGGCTGTATTTCATGTAACTTAGTGGCTTATCAAGTCATTTTCAATGTCCTAAGTAGCTTTAGCATGGTGACAATATTAGTACTGACTTTATATTTTTCATTTACTAGAACTATAGGGTATAAACTTAGAGTTGAAGTCAATAATGAAGAACTGTTTTGAATGCATCAAAACATTTCTGTTACTCTTGCCCTTACTCTTTAGAGCTATAAGTCAGCATAATTTTTTCGTTATTTCACTTCTCCAATTTAGTTGACAGTGTTCCTAACAATTTAAAAAATATAATTAGCGACTGGTGTATGGAATATTCTACCTTACAGAGTAAAAGTGA